TATGTTACGGGAGTCAGATTGGTGAGTTCTCTGGCTAGCTAGCTAGCTAGCTAGCTAGCTAGCTGTGTAGTTACGTAGCTAGCTAGCTCTCTAGCTATGTAGGTATGTAGCTAGCTAGCTGGGAGGGTATGTGGGTGGCTAGCTAGCTAGGGTAGGGGTGGGAACAACTTGGTCTTGGGATTAATTGGAGGAAGCATTGAACACGGAGATTATGTTACGGGAGTCAGATTGGTGAGTTCTCTGGCTAGCTAGCTAGCTAGCTAGCTAGCTGCGAGGGTTTGGGGGTGGCTAGCTAGCTAGCTAGCTAGCTAGCTATGTAGCTAGCTGGCTGGGAGGGTACATAGGTGGCTAGCTAGCTAGGGGTGTGGGTAGGAACAACTTGGTCTTGGGATTGATTGGAGGAAGCATTGAACATGGGGATTATGTTACAGGAATAAGATTGGTGGGCTTAATGGCTAGCTAGCTAGCTAGGTAGCTAGCTAGCTATGTAGTTATGTAGCTAGCTAGCTCTCTAGCTATGTAGGTGTGTAGCTAGCTGGCTGGGAGGGTATGTGGGTGGCTAGCTAGCTAGGGTAGGGGTGGGAACAACTTGGTCTTGGGATTAATTGGAGGAAGTATTGAACATGGGAATAAGATTGGTGGGCTTAATGGCTAGCTAGCTAGCTAGCTAGCTGGCTGGGAGGGTTTGGGGGTGGCTAGCTAGCTAGCTAGCTATCTAGCTATGTAGGTATGTAGCTAGCTAGCTGGGAGGGTATGTGGGTGGCTAGCTGGTGGGAATAGTTGGGTGTTAGGATGGGATTTATTGGAGGGACTGCAGAACGTGGACAACTTGTTGCTGGATTCAGTGGCTAGCTAGCTAGCTAGCTAGCTAGCTAGCTAGCTGGCTAGCTAGCTAGCTAGCTGGCTAGCTAGCTAGCTAGCTAGCTGGCTAGCTATTTAGCTAGCTGGCTGGCTACCTGGCCAGCTAGTCAGCTAGCTAGATAGATGGATAGCTACATAGGTATATAGATAGGTAGATGGCTAGCTAGCTAGCTAGCTAGCTAGCTAGCTGGCTGGGGAAATAGACGTGGGATGGATGGGTGGGGTACACTGCTGGGTGGTGGGTGGGTGGCTAGCTAGCTAGCTAGATGGGTGGATGGCTATGTGCTGCTGCTGCTGCTGCTGCTGCTGCTGCTGCTGCAGGTGGACAAGCTGGGCCAGGGGAGGCACCCCTGCATCCGCATCGAGGTCTGGGTGGGAAAGTGTGACAGAAGTGAGACCCGCTGCTGTTGCTGCTGCTGCTGCTGCTGCTGCTGCTGCTGCTGCTGCTGCAGGGCTTGGCTGGAAAGCTGGAGAGGCGTTTGTGGATTTGCTGCAGCCATTCAAGAGAAGCTCGCGAAGGATTTGGAGAAGTGCTTTGCAACCAAACTGGTGCGTCTTGCTGCTGCAGCGCAGCAGCAGCAGCAGCAGCAGCAGCAGCAGCAGCAGCAGAACCTGCTGCAGTGGTCCAGTGGTCTGCTGCTGCGCGCAGGACGGGTCCATCGGCACGGCGCCCCGCGGCGACTGGAAGAGCCACTCCTCGCGCTGAACAGCAGCAGCAGCAGCAGCAGCAGCAGCAGCAGCAGCAGCAGCAGTGGAATCCGCGCGATCCTCGCCCGCTGCTGCGCCGGACTCTTCCCAAGTGCATGCAGCAGCAACTGCGAAGGTGCAGCAGCAGCAGCAGCAGCAGCTGCTGCTGCTGCTGCACTTCCGCGCAAGTTTCGCCAGCTCCCCGCTGCTTCCCACCCGCAGCCGCCGCGGCTGCGGGAAAGAAGCTTCGCTGCAGCCGCTGCTTCTCAAAACGCCACCAAATGCAAAATAATTCATTTAATTCATTATTATTATTATTATTATTATTATTATTATTATCATTATTATTATTGTTATTATTATTCTTCTTTGGGCAGCGGCCGCGGCGGATCGGAAGCGGCGGCGCGCGCAGTTGGGGTGTACGTGCAGCTCCGGCGAGCGCCGCCGCGCCGCCGCCGCGATCCGAATTCAAAACAGAACTTTTTTGTGCATTTTATTTTCTTTTTTCTTCTTTTTCTTTTCTTTTTACTTTCTTTTTATCTTCTTTTTGCTTTTTTCGCTCCCTAGATTGCTTTAGAGCAGCCAGTTCAGTCCAGTAGTTGGCTCCAGCATGTCTGCGAGCCCGCCTCCGCGCCGCAGCGCCAGAGGACAGCCGCTGCAGCAGCTGCTGCTGCTGCTGCTGGCTGGCGCTCTGCTGCTGCTCTGCGCCGAGGCGAAGAGCCGCACTGCGCGGCCCTCAGCAGCAGCAGCAGCAGCAGCAGCAGCAGCAGCGCCTTCCTTCAACCCCCAAGGTAGGCGAAGTGACCAGTGGTCCATGCCAGTGGTCCACTCATTGGCTGCCAGCAGGCTACATGTACCAGCACTTGTGGCGAAAGTAAGTGGCCTTTTGCTGCAGCGCAGCGAGTGCATGCAGCAGCAGCAGCAGCAGCAGCAGCAGCAGCAGCAGCAGCAAGACCCGCGGGGAAACGGCTCGCAAGAAAAAAGCAGCAGCAAACGAGTTCTCTCGCCTAGTTCGCAGTGAGTTTGCTGCGCTGCAGCTTTTGCTGCTGCTGCTCCAATCAAAAGCAAATTTTGCTGCAGATTACTACAGGGTCACGGAGGAAGAGCCGGAGGACTGAATTCTGCTGCTGCTGCTGCAGCTGCTGCTGCTGCTGCAGCAGCAGCAGCAGCTGCTGCTGCAGCAGCAGCAGCAACACATATCTTGGCACACAGCAGCAGTTGCTGCTGCAGGCGCTGCAACTGCCCAACAGCCGCTGCAGCTGCTGCAGCACCCGCTGCAGCTGCTGCAGCACCCGCTGCAGCTGCTGCAGCACCCGCTGCAGCAGCTGCTGCAGCAGCTGCTGCAGCAGCTGCTGGCCTTCGCAAGTGAAAAAAGCAACAGCTCAGGTTCAGTGGATTGGATGGAGATAATGGAGTTGTATTAATTTTGAATTAATTAAATTAAAATGATTTATGAATTTAATTAAATAATTAATTCATAAATTAAAATGATTTATGAATTTAATTAAATAATTAATTCAACAAAAAGAAAAGAAAAAGAAGTTATGCTGCAGCGGCGATTTCTGCTTCCAGCTCCGCGGCTTGCTGCTGCAGCTGCTGCTTCCTCTCGATCTTCTGCAGCAGCAGCAGCAGCAGCAGCAAACAAACAGAAGCAGCAAACAAAATAAACAAACAGATAGTCAAGGGCACTGCTGCTGCCATGCCTCTGCTGCTGCTGCTGCGCTGCTGCTGCGCTGCTGCTGCTGCTGCTGCTGCTGCTGCTGCTGCTGCTTGCCTCTTCTTGCTCCGGCAGCAGCACTTCTCCCTTGGCCTTCCTTTGCTGCAGCTCTTCTATTTCGTTGAGTTTCTTTTTCAAGTTCCTTAGCCTGCATGCACAACCACAACCTGCTGCTGCTGCTGCTGCTGCTGCAGCTACTGCTGCTGCTGCAGCTACTGCTGCTGCTGCTGCAGCTACTGCTGCTGCTGCTGCAGCTACTGCTGCTGCTGCAGCTACTGCTGCTGCAGCTACTGCTCGACGACGACCTGCAGCTACTGCTGCTGCTGCTGCTACTGCTGCTGCTGCTGCAGCTACTGCTGCTGCTGCTGCAGCTACTGCTGCTGCTGCTGCAGCTACTGCTGCTGCTGCAGCTACTGCTGCTGCAGCTACTGCTGCTGCTGCTGCAGCTACTGCTGCTGCTGCTGCAGCTACTGCTGCTGCTGCTGCAGCTACTGCTGCTGCTGCAGCTACTGCTGCTGCTGCAGCTACTGCTGCTGCTGCTGCTGCAGCTACTGCTGCTGCAGCTACTGATGCTGCTGCTGCTGCAGCTACTGCTGCTGCAGCTACTGCTGCTGCTGCTGCTGCAGCTACTGCTGCTGCAGCTACTGCTGCTGCAGCTACTGCTGCTGCAGCTACTGCTGTTGCTGCTATGTCTTCGCTGCTGCTGCGGACGCACCTCTTGGCTGGGTCTCTGGAGGCATTTGCTTCCTTGTTGCTGATGGACAAGTTCGAGAGCTGCTCGCAGCAAGCAGCAGCAGCAGCAGCAGCAGCAGCAGCAGCAGCAGCAGCAGCAGCAGCAGAAGAGTTGGCAGCAGCAGGAGCCGCGGGAGAGGCAGCGGGAGTTGCGGCAGCGTCGGCGGGGCTGCTGCCCTGCTTCTTCTTCCGCACGCGGCTCCTGCTGCTGCTGCTGCTGGTGCTGTTGCTGCTGCTGCTGCTGCTGCTGCTGCTGCTGTCTGCTGCTGCTGCAGTGAGGCCTGGTATAGCAGCACCCGTGGTGGCCTTGTGCTGCTCCTGGCTGATTTGGTGGCGGGGTTTGTAAGACTTCATTTCTTCCTAAAATAAATAAATTAATTAAATAAATAAAATAAATAAATAAATAAATAAAATAAATAAAATAAATAAATAAAATAAAAATAAATAAAAATAAATAAAATAAATCAAAATAAATAAAGAAAAAGAACAATCCGAGCTGCAGCACAAGCAGCAGGAGGGTTTACCGCCCCCAAAGGGTTTAGGGTTTAGGGTTTAGGGTTTAGGGTTTACAAAGGACTGGGTATATGGCCAGATTAGTGTTTAGGGTTTAGGGTTTGCAGAGGGCTGGGTAAAGGTCCTGTCTAGGGTTTAGGGTTTAGGGTTTGCAGCGGCCTGCACACACGTCCTGCGCAGTGCCCAGGGTTTAGGGTTTAGGGTTTAGGGCTAGGGTTTAGAGCTAGGGTTTAGGGTTTAGGGTTTACCACGGGCGTGTATCCAGGCCGCACTTTAATGGCTTT